TATTTAATACCCTACGTAATTTCGTCCAAATTTTAACTTAAAAAAAATTGTGTTTATCTATGTATATTTTTTAGACTTTTATTCGCAGAATTAACTATAGGTACTTACCTTGTTTTAAATTTTCATCCCGTAGCTATATTAGTTGAACATTTTACACATTTTTAACAATAAAACATTTTTTAACTTCTCAATTTGATAAATTTCGTCAAAATTCGAACTCTAAATGCTTGTAAAAAAAAATTGTGCTAATGTATTTTTAATATTTTTCAACCGCTATTGTAACAATTTTTTATCAGAATAAACCTTCTATTAAATTTTCATGCTTTTTGCAGGCCCAACAAATAAAACTATATTGATATTCATAGAAAAAAAAAATATATTTAAATTTGAAATTGTCCGTAAATAGCCCAAAACGTGTCAAAATATTTTGAAAATGTTATCAAGTATAGGAATTGATAAAATAAACATTCAGTAAAATTGTCATGTATCTACAGTAGTTATTCATTTTTGAATTAACACAAAATAAGAAAATCACTACATGAGAAATATCGTATATGTCCAATAATGTAAAAAATTGGACTTCAAACGCTCATAAAAGTTTAATTTGACTCTCTTATAGAAATTTTTTTTCAAGGTTGATAAACTCATAAGAAACATTTTTAGGAATTTCTAACTCAAAATAATTTGCACATTTTCGTGATTTTGAAAACTACTGGGAATTTTTTATTATTATTACCCCTCCGAAGTACCTACTAGATTCACTTTCCTATGAAAAAATAATGATGTTGAAAAAAACTTAAGCATTTTTACATGACTGACACAAAAAAGAAATGTATATATATATATATATATATATAGGTATACAAAAAACACACATTATTATAAAATCATTACTGATCTAAGTAATGAGCAGAATCTAATAGATACCTGCTATATGTAAGTGAACGTTATACACACATTTGTTGTCTCTGTCTTAAAGGTTCTATATACTTATAACGTCTAACGCTTAATAGGCAGGGGCGTAGTTAGGGGGGGATTAGGATTTAGGGGGATAGATCCCCCCAAAATTTTTTTCTACTTCTAAAATGTTGATCAAAGTATTGTTAATGACCATTAATGTTTGCTAAAAACGTATATCCCCCCTCCCAAACCAAATTCCTAATTACGCCACTGTTGGTAGGTATCTAATTTAACTATGTTCGGTAGAATCCGTTTTACTTTGTTATTTATTAGAGTTGGTTTAAATATATTGTATGTTGTATCCAGACAGTTAATTTTGACAATTTTGCCATTAAAAAAATAAATGTTATTTTTGTTCAAAAACTCCTAAAATAAAAAAAAAATTATATTATTTAAATAATGATGTAACTGATATATAGGTAGGTAATATTTGGTATAATTCCATATGAACATAATAATTAAACTATTATCTGTTCAGTCGAATCGAAAAAATAAAATAAGTACCTAAGTCTGTATTTTCGTCTGACATTAACAGTTTACGAGCCGCATCTATCAGATGTAATGTGATGTGACGACTGCCGGTACAACATTAATATTCAATTTAATATTTATATCAATACTTTTATTTTTTCGATCTTTTTCGTCCGTATTTGCGTAATATAGTCTGACCGTAGAGAAGTAGAGAACTCATGACCAGTGGCGTATTTACGGGGGGGGTCCCCGGGTCTGGACCCCCCCCAGAAAAAAATATAATATAATATAATTATTACATCGTAACTCGTATGTGTTTTTTTTATATTATAAACTTGTAGGTACCTAATATTTAGACCCCCCCCCCCCACAAAAAATTTCAAAATACGCCACTGCTCATGACAATGAGTATTATTAAAAAGTAATAACTATGTTGCATTCAGTAGCGTCGCCAGGGATGGGGAGGGCCCACCTAAAAAAGTATCCCCCCGGTGGCCCACCCCAAAAATTAAATTAAATCATATTAGAGTAATGATATTAATAATTTTGTTGAAAATTTCATGAACCACGAGTTTAGATTACTAACCAACCATGATAAAGAAAATACAGGAAGGGAAAATATTCTATTTTAGTTTTTTGTGTTGGCCCTCCCTAAAAAATTTGGGCCTCAGCCGGGCCCACCTGGTACTAAAATTCTGGCACCTCCACTGGTTGCATATCTACATATAATATATTATATTATATTTATAACGGTAATAAGATGCTCATACAGTCATACACATAATATGGTCATATTAAGGATAAATCTTATGAAAGAAGATATTTTAAATATATCCAAACACAATATTATAGTGAAGGTAAATTGTAATTTGTATGTATAGTGTATACAAATATTTTAAAAGCTCAAATTAAACTAAATACTAATCAAGTAGACACATCAGTACATCACATATAGTACAGCTGTGTAAGTTTTTGGTTAGTAAGTAGGTAGGTACCTATTATACGAATAGTAGTTGTTGAAAATAAATTTCACTTAAAAAGGTAGATAATATTATAGTATATATAGATAGGTAGTAAGTAGGTATAGGTACCTAAATTTAAATTATAAATCAGATTGCTCAACAGTAAGCAGTAAACAATTTCCTATAAATGTAAACCATTATGCTATTTTCCTGAGACTAAAATATTTTTATTGGTAACACATTGAAAATCCATTAAAAATACATAATATACTTAAATAGATGGCGCTGTATTCCAATACAGTATACACCCTCTCACACATCTGTATTTTATATATTTATATTATATTTAGATAATATCTTCAAACTTCATAGTATCATTACTCATTACTTATTACCTATTACTAATATTATTTACTTATTAGTTATTCATTATTACCAAGGCCAATATGTGATGAAAACAGAAATAATTTAAAATAAACATTGTACAAACTGAGATAAAACCTAAAATGCATAAAAAAATATGTAACCACAAGTCCCAATATTTAAATTCCGATATTAAATTTTTCTAAAATACAGTCTTAAACGCCATCAATAAATAATAGTAAAATCATACAAATAAGTGTAACTAAAAGAATTTAAAATTAATAATGTTATAAAGTCTGCACGTTGTGTTTTATTTAATATTGTTATTCCGTTTGTTTTTGTAACAAATTGTTATGATAAATTCATATCTTTAAATTTGATTAGATATCTGTGTATTTTTATTTTTCACTGTTCATTTATAAACCTCAGATCATGTACCTAATATATAGTACCTACATGATCTAAGTCATAAACTGATACTTTACAATTCAATTTTGTTTTGTAATTTGTATGGTACCTATACGACTTGATATATAGGTACATAATATAATAGTAGAAAATGGTTTCTATCTAAAGCTTTGTTTCTAATACCTAGTTTAATATCTAGTTGGTATATTTGAGTGGTCAAAATTGAAAAATTTTAAATTAAAATATATACAATTAAACTATAATCAGCAGAATTAGCCGGAAAGAAACAAAATACTATATCTAGCATTGTCAGTATTTATTGGATACTTAATGTGACAGGAAGTCGGAACAAAATTAATTTACCATTTAATTTAATTAATCCCAGTGCTTTTCTAAATAATTGAGGAAAATAAAAAAAATTTGTGAAAAAACGAGAATTTTAAAGGGAAACTTACCTCAAAAACGAATTACCGGCAATACCTATAATATTATTGGGCCTTTAAAAATTTAAGTGTGTAATTATTATCATAATAAATATAAAATAATAATTAATATTTATAACTATACTGGATGGTATAACGTGTGTTAAAATGTGTTTAATATCAGTGAAGACTTATTAAAAATTATAATAATATCGAAATTATAAAATATAATATTTTATTGTATTAGTATAATAGTATCTTCGAGATACCATAATAAAGTGATATGACTATCATATTATACAAGTATATATTAATATAGATAATTATACAATCATTGATTATACTCCATTGCTGCTTTTAAGGGGTCGGAGTTAGGCAATATTGTATATTCACATGTGTTTGTAGTGAATAATCATTATAGTGTGCGGAGTTCCCCGAATTAATTTTGTAATATTAAAGATAATAAACTACGGCTAAGATTTTTGGAGACCCTCGCTGTCTCACGTCTCTATATTTTTTTGATTCAAAAAATTTCAACATGGAAAGCAGAAGAAAATTAACCCAGTTTGCTACGTTTGTAGTTTTTTACTTGATTAAAAACTGTGGGAATTAAATTCAAGGTTCCTAATGAGTTGTTCATATACCATTTAAGTAATAAATATCGAAAATACAGGGTTAGGTACGTGTTTTTTTTATAAGAGCTTAAAGTTAGAATTTTGACAAAATTCATCAAAATTGTTCAAATTATGTTGTAGTTAGAAATCCAATAAAAATTACCTTTTTATTACTAAGTTTTAAGATATATTATTCATTTTACATCTATATTCTATACTATATACATACCAGCTATGTAGTATGTATATTAAAATAATATTGAAAACTGATGTCTACAATATGCGACAGTATAACTACTAAGTACCTACTATAACTATTGCTTGTATCCAAAATATCCGTTAGTTCATTAACGCATTAAATCTTAAAATACCTTTTACAAACTGCAGATTCGCTTTTAATATTTATTACAACATTTAATGGTATAACTTGTATAGAGTATTTAAAAAAATTAAAAGTGTTATTTTAACAATATAGTTGGACTCAGTATAAATTGTATTTAGGTTCCACTGTATTGTTGTCACACTCTAGTGTAATATAAATTATAATTTATACCCAAGTTAAATTAAACTAAAATAATATCTTCGAATGTTTATTTGACTCAAACAGTTTTCAGCAATATTTTTTGTTAATATTTCTTGTTAATCCTACTGCTTGTTTTTACAATAATTTTTATTACTTATTTGTTTATTATCTTCAAAAGTATTCAAAATAATGTATTCACAATTAAATTACTTATAGTTAATATCATCTGTATGTATCTAAGTATCTTCGTTTACAGGAAATAATATGATGAATATTTTCATTGACTTTTTGGTCGTTTAGCGATCCATGATTTTATCTGAGGAATAGCCAAGACTTTGTGTTTAAGAGCAGTGAGATGTGGACGGCCATCAATCAGGTCGACATCTATTATCGATTTTATGTGATCCAATATAGATACAAAGTATAAGTCAGGCCAAGATAACTGTGAAACATAAAACAGTATTAAATATAAGTATATTGTGCAGGTTATGTATGAACTATTATTTCAATGTGAATTATTGTTGCAATAATTGATTTAATTATTGATTAACTGATATCTACTACAATAATACAATATTTATAACTAAATTATTAATATACTATTCAAAAAATGCAATGGTTAATATAATAGAATAATTTTTATTTGAGGCAAGGCCTTAACTGAAAAAAAATGTCGAGTGGAGAGTCAAACATTTTTTTGATATAGATGCTGCCACACATCATTTTTACGTTCAATATAAAAAAAATTTTAGTTTTTGTTATTACTGCTTTTACGAAAATATAAAATTACTATTAATACAATATCATAGTCAATAAACAATATTCGCAGCTAAAATGTTTCTACTTAAAAAAAAAATTGGGGTGGGGTGTTTCGGGCTCCTTTACCCTTCTAGTTTTGGCCTTGATTTGTGGTATAGATATAACTATAAAATATAAAATTGAATAATAGATACTAATAATCAAGGAGTCGGATATTAAAATATAAACACTTAATATAAATATACATACCTTTCCATTTACAAAGTAACCACCGTTTTCAGAAACAATTTTTTCAAATCTATCAATATAAAATGGAATCGAATCATTCACGATAGGGCCACGTAATTTTGATTTTATTTCCTCATTTGGTTCATGATAGTAGTTCATGATTTCTTTAAAAAAAATAATAATACAATATTAATTAAACTTGAATAATATAATAATTTAGAAACATTGGAATAAACTAATAAAGTACCTACCACTTACAAACAAATCAAAAAATATAAAACTCTTCTTAAAAAAAAAAGGAAATATCTTCTGATTATAAAAAGAATAGGATGACAAGTAATAATCAGTAATCACCTTAATGAGAATTAGCAACAAGCCAGTTCTACATCGTCAAATGTAGACCTCGGATTATCTGTTCGTATCGAACAACTCATTACGTATATAGTAATCAACCATGGCGTTTTTATATTATAAAGCAAAGAAAGCAAAACATTTTGTTCATTCAAATACATATCACACAAAATCACAAAAAAAATTAAATTTAAAATTATATGCATCATTAAGGTACCTAGGTACATAGTATAATTCAAAATGATACAATTGATCAGATTTGATTTATATATTACTTATATGCAAAACAAGTTTCAATATAAATTAAATCCGGTCTTTACTCATCTCTCATCAGTCATCACTCATCATCAAATAACTAGAATCAAAATATTATTAATATGACTTTTGCGATGAATGGTTTGCGATCAATCACATCGTGACCAAATTACCAAAATACACAGAAGCACAAAAAGTATTAATTATTAATCTAGCCTCACTCCAACATGCACTTTTAAGTTATAACGAAGAAAACGCTGAAGCAATTTATAAATACTTCCTCAATATATAAAGTTTGTCGAAGCCTTAACTAACAGATAATAATAATAATAATAATAATAATGATAATAACACAATTATAATCAATAACATTACCAAAAGGTATAGCGTAGGTATATTGTACGGTATATACTCAGTAAGTAGATATAGCTATATTATAATATTATTATACATTTATAATTATTAAAACTAAAACATAATATTTTTTTTTTTTTTTTAGTTGATCTTAAGCCCGGTGACTATGGCCATTAGCTGTATGGTTTTGTAGGTTTTTATGTCCGTACAAGTGTGTGTTTTGTTTGGCAGAATTTTTGATTGGGCACGCGTTGTAGGTATCTGCCGTGCCCGGGTGGGGGGTGGCGGCACTTGTTCTCCGAAGAAAAATACCGCCCATGACCGAGGTATCGAGACAGCGTCGGCCACTCCGTCCCCCAAAACATAATATTATACACCTACCTAAACCTATATACCTATATGTTACAAGTTTATAACTTATGGAAATTATATATTACAGAAGCTGCAAGGCTATAATACATTTGGTGCACAAAACATCACAGTTAAATAAACGAGCATGATTGTTTATTTGACGGTGATTTTGTTTTAATAAATGGCAAAATATAATGTAATAGCATTCGGATAATATTATATTATATTCTATACAAATCTCAAAATATAGGTACAAAAAACAGAAGTACAGTTTGTAAATGCTTAAACTCACAAATATATAAAACTATATTAAAATGTTAAATATAATTTCATATTATATAATATATATATATGTACGTAGTAAAGCAAAACAAATATGGACCAAACTTAATTATTTTTATACAAATTGGAAATTGCAGGTACCTATACCTAATGGATTCAATTTACAGCTCTTGCTGGTTGTATAAATAGGTACCTATACTGTATTCACTATGGATACCTAAGGTATGGTTAAGCTATAATAGATATATTTATATAATATACATAGTGCAACAGTATAAGGACTACAGTCACCGGAATGTGTAGCTAATTAGTGACTACTAACATTAATCATTTTAATTTATATATTATATGAACGCTGTTCCTATTATATATAAATATAATATATAATATTGTAAAATATAATATATAAATCTAAATACCTATCATTAAAAACAAAAGTTATCATATTATATTATACCTATAGTCAGTTAATTAACATTTATTAACGATTTGTGATACGGCCAGCTCATAATAAATGATTATTATAATATGATAAAACTGTTTTGATTCAAAAATTTGATCGTTTAAAGTACCTAATAATATTATAATATACTAACCTTGTCTTATCTCGTAAATGTTATCGACTGCAACGTCTACCAATAACGATTCCCATTCGTCGTCACCAGCCAAGCCGGCTTTTTTCGCCAAATACCGACAGATAGCCATGGACTGATTAAACGTTTTTCCGTCGATTTCCAACACTGGCACTTTACCGAACGGCATGGCTTAAAAAAATAAAAACAATTGCCCGACATTGTAAACACCGAAAATTGATTGCCATTACATAATATTATATTTAAACAATATAAATTATATAGGTATACATATTATAGCTACCGCAATTCCCTATATATATGCATATAGATATAGAAGAGTATAGGCCATATTATAATACCTATATTATTATACCTCGGAGTAGTGATGTGGATTTTACGTAAAAAATTTTTTTGGTAATTTACCGTGTAAATTTACTGGTAAATTTACCAAATTTACGGTAAAATTGGTAAATTTTTTTTAAAATTCAAATTATAGCGTACCTGTTGAATTTGTTCACAATATAATGTAAAGAAGGCAAGATAAATATAAAATAAAGTATTAGTATTTAATCCATTTATTAATAATAACAATTAATAATTATTAATTTATCATAGTAAAATATAAAATAAAAATAATTTTAATCTGTTTCAAAAAAAAATAAAAAACAACTTATAGTATAATGAAAACAGCATGTGTAAGTTAACTATACCTATCACATATGTATTAATAAGGGCCTCGCCACACTGCGGTATTTTCGCCGTCAGGTCCGGGCGGTTTTACCGTCGCGGCAATAAAACGTTCGCGCCATCGCGCCAAACTAGAACGGTTTTACCGTTCGCGCCATTGAGCCAAATTAGAACTTAGGAAGACTATACTCCATTCCCATACACATGTTGGTGACGATAGAAAGTTTTTCACTTAATCATAGTGTTTTATTACTTAAAAAACAGTACCAGTAACCGCGTACACCATTACACAATAATTCGTATCACGTAACTGTCGTTATCATTTTATAAAAATCCTAATTAGTAATTTGTATTATAATCCTAATATCTTGATAAAAAATACAAAGACGTACAAATAAAGTGGTCACTCAACTGTTTGAGTGGTAAAAAAAATGTAAATTGTAAATTGTTTTTTGTAAATTTACGGTAAATTTACTTTACCGGTAAAATTTTACATGGTAAATTTACGAGACTCACATCACTACCTCGGAGGAATGGCGACTTTTTTTTTTTTTTTTGTTAATCGGGGCCCCAATACGAAACTTTTTGCCTGCAAGTTTCAAATTACCAGTGTTTTTTGCAAGGTTCCCTATTCACTGGACTATCTATATTAATACTATTATAATATTACTTACTAGGTTTGATTGCTGGCCATTGCTCGCGTTCGAAACGAAAATCTTCAAAATCGACGTTCAGATACGATAAGAGGAATCGAATCTGTTCGGCCCGAGCTGTCAGGTTGAAGTACGTCAATTTATAAGTAGTCATGACGCCGTGTCCTAAAATATGTATCGTATGAATTCTTTTTATAATACCTATTTAAAAATATAATTATTGATTTTTATCCACGTACGTACGTACAATAATGTGTTTTACAATAACAATATTATATTAATATGGTTACGTTCAGCGCCTCGGCGGTAAAAACAAAAAATAGAAAGTAGTTAGGTACCTACTAGGTATAAGTGTATAACTAGATAAAAAACGAATGTCCGTCGTGCTGTCTGTGTATACAAGCGGTGACTAAATTGTACACTTCATGCGATTGTAGGCATAACAGGTATGTATAATGGTTATATATATTATAATAATATAAGCTATATAATATTATATTCGAGCTTGCATTGGTGGGAGTGTAGTGCGGCTCACTGGGATTTCGACTTATGAAGATAGTAGCCAATAGAAAGGTACATTGTTATAATAATACGGTATCATAACCAACATTATTCGACGACTGCAGCGAGTACATAATATACATATTAGGTACATATTATACACTTATACACAGTGGTTAAAGTGCCTCTCAAAATAATCGGTAATATGTCCTACCTACATTTGTATAGGTACCATTGTACATCTCATATTATACAAAATTGTAACTATTACTCACATATCCAATAAATTAGGTCAATTTTAGATCCTAAACGAAGCGATGAATGTACCTATATTGGCCTTACAAAAATGTGTGTTTTTACAGTAAAAATATATATACATATAATATATATATACTATATAGGTATTAATTATTAAATATTTTTTTTATATTTAACATATATTTTATAGATTAATATAAATATACATTTCTTAATATTTTTACAGGACTTCTAAAATAGTTTGAACATAAAGAAAAAAAACATTTTGAAAAAAATTTCATTTGGACAATACTGAAACTACAAGTACCTCTTAAATGAGTGAATTTACCAAAAATCATTTGGTTATGTCCTAACTATATTGGCCCATATTGACTGCGGAAATTTGCAGCTTAATATAATATAATTTTTTTCAAAAAATTTACAAAAATCATGTAATTGTTGATTATTTGGTTTCATATTCATGAGATTTTCAGAAAAACCTTTTTGAACTTCCTCAGGTTTTAAAAAAGATAATCCTAAGAACAATTTTAAAAATTTTTCAATTTCTGATTTTGTTTTTAAAATTTTTACGTAGCCCAATTGATGGAATTTTTCACCTCATGTTCTGTCCTAAGTGAAAATGACAGCCTTTACGTACTACTTCCGAAAAAATTTCCAAAATTGCCGAGTAAAATGGCTTATGCCTTATTCAAAAGCAGCTTAAATTATACTTGGTGTAAAAATCAAATTCAATTCACTCATTCTATCTAATAAATCGAAAAATGTATTTTTATATATTTCTGTAGTTTGTCCTGTTAATAAAAAAAATATTAGCGGTGTATAATTTGAATTTTTAGCTTCATGAATAATGAATAATTGATAAAATGGTTTGGAGCAACTTTTAAACGTACCATCAACATAATATAAAACATTATATTCAGTTAAATATTTCAGGTTAGCTTGTGTAGAAAACGCTACAATGTTTTTTTCTAAATTATTAATTATAAGCAAAAATACTTCATCTCGAATTGTTTTAATCTAGCATAAATTTAAATAAAAAGTAGGTAGGTATACTAGATATGACTCGATAAAAAACGAATGTCCGTTGTGCTGTCTGCGTATAATACAAGTGGCGACTAAATTGTACACTTTATGCGATTATAGGTATAATAGGTATGGGCAATGTATATTATAATAATATAAACTGTGTTACGTGTGGCCCTGTCAGGGATCCGAAAGATGATGATTGAAAGAAGTTTGTTGTCAATTTGAACAGTAAAATGAAATGGTGTTTTATTATACCAATATATAATTGTACAATAGTCGTCTAGAGTAAGTGGACGAGTGTGGCGTGAAGTAGCTCTGGTCTTGGCGGCTATGGTACATCTGAATATGCCATGTTCCTGGCCCTTCTACAAACGATGTCGGCTCTTTTGATATGGTTGACACTTGGACTTTTCTGGTGTCCTTGGGTGTAGTTGTTTGAAAGTGGTTGTTTTCGTAGAGATGAAATCAATTAGCTCCTGTTGTTTTTTATGCTAATTGTGTTAAGTTCGTCAAATTATTAGATGGGCAACTGGTTTGCCAAAATGATACCTATGAATCGGATAATAGTTTATACATTGTGCAAGCGGTCTGTACATTATTAATTTAAATGTCAAATGTTACTTAAAATTTAAAAATTAGGTTAAATTAGAGTGGTGCTGTTAGTGGTCCGTAGAATCAATTAAAGGGTTATACATTTTAATATAATATTAGTCCGTAAAGTCATGGCACGCTACAACTGTATAATATAATATTATATTCGAGCTTGCATCAGCGGGAGTGTGCAGGGCCACTGGGATTTCGACTTTTATTGTGATGAAGATAGTAGCTATAGGTAGAGGTACATTATTATTTATTATAATAATAAGGTATCGAGGAAGTCAAGTTACATTATACATTGACAATATTATTCTACAACTGCAGCGAGTAGGTACATAGTCATAAATCATAATATACATATTAGGTACATATATTATACACTTATACACAGTGGTTTAAGTGGCTCTCAAAATAATCGGTAAGATGTCCTACCTACATTTTTATAGGTACATCTCATATATTATAAAAAAACAAATTGTAACTATTACACGCGCATCCAATAAATTAGAGCATTTTTAGATTATAAACGAAGCGATGAATGTACCTATAATATTGGTCTTGGAAAAATTTTCCTTTTGACCCCCCCAAAGTACCAACTAGATTCACTTTCCTATCAGAAAAGATACTGTTGAAGAAAATCCAAGCACTTTTACTGTCCTAAAAGGTGATGACAGTCACACAAAAAAAAAATAAAAACAAAAAACACACATCATTGTAAAATCTATCACACCAAAAACACTTCGTTATAACTCCGTGTAAAAAAAGCTAAGTTAAAAAAAAAAATTAGGAATGATTTAGACGTGATATAATAATATGTAAATTAAGTAAAATACCATTTTATAATATTACAAATAACTATGATGACAAATAAGATCAATTGTAAATTGTAATGTACAATACTTAGTCAACATATTGTTGATACATTATTAATTATACTGTAAATACTGTAGTGGTTACTTAAATTGTATTTATTTAAGTATACTTCTACGTCTTGCCAAATAGTTAAACATAATATGTTGACTAAGTATTCAACATTACAATTGATCTTATTTGTCATCATAGTTATTTGTAATATTATAAAATGGTATTTTACTTAATTTACATATTATATCAAGCCTTTTAAAGATTTAATCATTCCTATTTTTTTTTTACACGGAGTTATAATTTTTGCTTATAACTTATAAACTATTTAACCAATCTGCTAGCGAGTTCCTCTGTTCCCATCTGCACAATATTTCTGTTCGGTTGATACCTCAATACGACTTTATATGTTCAGCCGTCTGCCCCGTAGAACTTGGCAAAGAATTGACATAAATTAGGACGATTTTTCAATGTTAAAACTGGGTTTCCTGTTATTATACGTTAATGGCTACTCCGCTATTTTTTAAAAATTTAGATTTTACAGTATCTTCACTAGTTGAATTGAAAAAGTTATATTAAGTCAGACAAGTCAACTACAAATGTTATAAGATATATTCAAACAACTTAAACCCAATAATGATGAAAGCATAAAACGATGAAGATGATGCTATATTGGAAGGATGTCCACTTGATAGATTGTATAGATTGAATGAAATTGATATGACAAATCGTTTTCAACAAAATTGGTTAATATTTTAGAACTAACTTTACATACCGTTTCTTAACCGTTAGTTTAAAAATAGAGTGAATTGACCACTTATAAAATGTAAAGGTAAGATTATTACCTAGAGCAACTCATTGGCTTTTTATTATATTTTTATTTTAAAGTTGGTTATGAGTATTTTAAAATTAAAAAAATGTTAGTTGTTTGTATATCTTGAAATACTCATAACTATATTTAAAATTAAAATATAACAAAAGCAGACAAGTGGATGTCTCTATATAGTCTATGCTGTACAGTAGGTTACAAGTTGGTCACTGTATAATGGATTGTATTACATTTTAATTCAATGATATCATAATATATTAATATCATTGTATACGAACAACGGTTTGTCAGTCTGGATATTTTATATTGTTATTATATTTTATTATAGGCTGTATTTTGAATTAATATTATAAATTAAAATAAAATAACTAAAATCATTATTTTTATTTTTATTCGTTTCTATGGTGATAAACAAAGCGTTAGAAATTAAAATCCTATTTTTAGCGGATTTTCATAATTTGTCGGTGGTATTTCCCGTGGCATTAAATAACTATTGAGAAAAATAAAATTACCTCTCTAAAGTAGGTACCATAGTGATCCAATTTCCTAAAAGATAAGGTACTATATTATTTTGTTTAAATCTAAGCACTCTTTCTGGTAGAAATTTTGTATACAGGATAAAAAAAAAAAATTTTAAAAAATTAAACACCATTGTAAAACCACTAGCTTCCTCACTTTCCTCAGAATCTAAAATAGGTTATGAGATATTGAGATACCTAAATAATAATCTTACCTTTAAATTGTACAAGGTTTAAATTCAAAAATAAAAAATTATATAGTAACTGAGTAACTGCTCAGTGTAAAATTTGCTGTGTTACGCACTTGTAAGACGGAGGCAGCAAATGTCGGTGTAGCTGCTACTCTGTAGCACTGCAGAGTCCTTTTAATACTTTTCCCAAATTTGTTGTGATTCAATTGACCAATAGACATAAGTTATTTATAATAGGTAATACGACGTATTTTGTAATCGCTTGTGGCGTGCCTACTGCCCCTTCTACAAAAGTAGGTACCTTCAATAAATTATTAGCCAACAAACTCGAGTCACACCAATGATTGTGATATCTGTGATTACTGATTAATAA